TTGAGCCTCACCACTTCTCAATTAAAACACCCGAAACACGCGATAACGCTTCGTTACCCACTTCCCAGAGCATTTTGAGGTGTTAATTAAGTAATGTTTATAGAAGCTGTGGTTACCCTGAGATGAACAGGAAGATAAGTGGCTACTTTTAATAATCTTCTGAATCCTTGTGTGGGCACACAAACCTGCCCATGGGTCTGTCCAAAGCCCCCATGCCTTGTGGAGCTTCATGACATGACTGGTGGGTCCAAATGTCATTCCTCCTCAAGCAGGGAGAAGAACAAATATTTAGTGTTAAACCTCAGCAAAGCAGCAGAAGCTGAGGAGTGGGAGGACAAAACCTCCCTCCCAGCTGGGTACAGTGCAAGGAGAGCCCCCCAAACTGTTCACTTGGCTATGTAAGAGCCAAAATCCATTTCCTGGGTATAGTCAGGTATTGCAGAGGACCAGCAGCTCCTGCTTTAGTGATCCTACAAGACCAGGGCAACAAAGACTCTGTGTTGAGAGGAGGGATGTCCCAATTCCCAGGTAAAACAGGGGGTCTCAAGCATAAATGAGGTAATGAAAGAAAACCCCCACTGCTTTGGTGGTTGCCACAGCAGTTAGAAAAGCAGGAGCTGCCTCCATAGGGCTGGGGTGGTGGGGTAGAAATTAAACTGCTGGGTGTGTGATCACCGGGGCTGTGCTGTATTATGGCAACAGGGACTTTATGGGGTATAAGTAAATCCGTGTGCAGGTTGGGACTTGAGGCTGGAGCTTTATCTTGGAGGATTCCCTCCTGTTTTCCTCTCCCTGCGAAGGGACACATCTGTGCACACGTGAGCAGGGGCAGCATCTCCCTGGTGCTGCTGGTCCTGTTTAACTTGTTCAGGGGGCTGTGACCAGCACCAGTCTCCAGCAAACCCGAAGGGCCATTGAGGCAGATCACAGCCCTGTTGGAGCTTCACATCACCCGGGTGGGACCCCCAGCAGACGCCACCCTGGGGTGGGGTGTCAGCAGCAAGAGCTTGCTGCAAACTGGCCCCTGGGCTGGCAGAGCAGCACGGAGCAGCTGCCCTGCTTCTGGGAGGATTTTCAGGTTGTGCGAGGTGCAGGAAGGCACCAAATCCTCCTCCCTGGAGAAGCAAGAGCCAAGGCTGCTCCTCCTGTCTCACCTGTCAGGGGGTAATTTTGCAATCTGCCAGCCCCTATCCAGCACCCACAGCAAGCCCAGTGCAGTGGAGAGCAGGCACTGGGCTCCATTTTAGGACAGCCTGTGCCAGGTTAAGTCATGCGAATAAATAAATGCCCAGCAAGAAAAAGAAACCCTCAACACACAAAAAAAAGAGCCCTCTCCAAACTGCCAAGCTCACAGTACATCAGCAGAGAGCATTAGCTCCACACTGGCCTGCGTTATACTCCTGGTACTCCAGATTTTCCATGAGTGATCAGGCAGTTTTTCAGAGTATAAATTTGTTTTATGATTCTAAAATTAGACCAGGAATATAGTAGGGTAGCCAAGGAAAGAAAGTTTGGCTGGTCAAAGCAGCTCTGCCCGGCAATCACCCAGTGAGAAACGTATTACATCAATCCAGACTGGAGCTGAACAGCTTCAGCACTGCTGATGGGGAAATATCTGGTGGTAAATCCATTAAGCTTCACTGATCCCCACAGTGTTAGAATGTCACAGTTCTGCCCTTTTTTTTTTTTCTCTTTTTTTTATACTTAAGCTCATTTACCTAATGAGCTGCTTTATCCTTCTGAAAAGAGACAGTGCTGAGGGTGGGGATGTGCTGTGGCTTACTGTGAGCATGGCAGGCAGTGCTGGAATGGTACTGAGAGTCCAGGAACACCCCAGGCACCAGGGAATGGGGGACAGCTGTGCTGTCAGAGCCAGTTGTCTGAGTCCATCCCTTCCCAAGCCCACTCAGACAGGACAGAAAATAACCTCTCTGCTGCTTTTCCTTTCCCCAGCCAGGAGCATCCCGCCCCAAGGAGTGATGCCATAAGTACCCAGACATTGCCTAGGGCCATCCCAGCCCTGTGCATGAGAGCTGATGTTCCTGGGGGACCCTGTGCACCAACCTGGGCCCCTTGTCCTGCCCTGAGCTCACCACTGAGACATGAGGAGAACAGGTGAGCAAAGCCACGGCAGTCAACAACTGCCCTGCCCCAGGACCTGGGTTTTCCAAACCCTCCAGATTTAGGGGCTGGATGAGGAGTTTGCCTTTGGTCCCTGACACTGGGGCTCTGTTTGCAGAGGGCACCCGTCACTTTGAAATACGTCCAGCCCTGCCGGAACACCAAAGGGCCGCTCCCGGCCCCTCCACGGGGCCACATCCGGCACTACTGGGTGTATATCACAGTGACAGCTCTGGAAAGGGCTCAGGGCTGTAAATGAAATCCCTGTCTCAGGGAGTGAGCTCCACACCGAGGGACTCTGTGGTCTGGCCTTCATCAATAAATCTCCTTCAATAAATCCTCTGGAGTGCGACAGAAGAGTGGGGGGCTGCAGCTTCACGCCTTGACCAGTCCACACTGGGTGAGAAGGGAGCAAAGCTGAACCCCTCAGAGAGCCTGGGCTGCCTGTGGGGTTGCTCTGCTGCAGCGAAAGGCTGAGTACTGGGTACAGATACGTGGGGAGCAGTGCTCATACAGGATCTCTGTTACAGTGTGTGAGCACAGACCAGACACCCAAAGTCCTCTCCAGGTTTGCCACAGAGAGGCCATCCTGTCTGCAGGCAGGGTTGGGTGCTGGCATCTCAAAAGCACCAAAAAAGGCAACAGCATTTCCCCGCTGACCGGATCCACAGCAGCTCACAGGTCCCCGCTCACCTGAGGGCTCTGAGGAAAAGAAAATCAGGAGTGAACCCCAACCCTGGTGGCACCGCAGCCATGCATGGAAGGCAAAGCTGCTCCCCACACCCCAGCCCCAAATCCTGATCTGCCGGGCTCTGCCCGCAGCGCTGAGTCACAGCAGCAGGGATCCGGATCTGGCACAGAGCACCTGGGCTGCCCCCGCGCCCTCCGCCTCCCACATCCCAGCCCAGCCCCACCTGCCTGAACCACGGGCTGGCACCAGTCCCAGCCAGGGTGTCACCTTGCCAGGATGTCCCAGCTGGAGCCCTGTGTCCTGAAATGCTGGGTTCAGCCCTTGGAGGCACCAGCCTTGGGGAATGGGCAGCACCAAGGTGGGCAGGGGCTGATCCAGCCCAGCAAGCAGTGTAGGGAGCTCATGCAGCACCCATGGCTCTGTTCCCAGTTGCAATCCCTTCCCAGATTACAGCAACAGGGAAGGCAATGGCAATTTGTACCTGAGTACTTCAGAGCCTTCCCAGCCAGCGCTTGGGGTGTCAGTCCCATGACAGCAGTGGTGGGTCTCACAATCTCCCTTCAGCCCTGGGGAGTTGCTGTGCCCAGGGCAGAGCCAAATTTAGGACTCAATGATCCCAGGAAGTGCTTCCCATAAACATCAGGGATTTGGGGATTTCTCTGTTTTGCAGTAGAGCCAGGTGTTATTTCTCCTGGTTATTCAGCTGTGGCTCTTGGGGCTGAGTAGCAGGGATCAGTTCCCAATCCCATTTCACAGTGGCCCACCTCAAGCTGTGTGAGCTGTCACAAGTCACACCATGCCTTGGGTAGCTTTTATTTTCTGGGATAGATCACCCAGCCCTGGGAAAGGGTCGGTTATTCCCAGAGAGCAATGAATATTTTTAATATTTTTTTCCCAGAGAGTGAGATCTCTCTCTGTTTGAACCAGATTTGCTCAGAAGCCAAACAAAGTGACTCTGGGATGGTTCATGTTCAGGCAGCTGTTCTGCTGATCCGAGCGTGCCGAGAGCACGCGAGCCGAGCTCGCTGTCTGTGCTTGCTGGCGCGTGCCTCATTTCTTTTGAAAATCAGATGCTTTAGGGGAAACTTTCTTCTTCCAGCTCTGCATGCCCACATCTTGCATATGCAGGCAATCTGGCACACCTCTGCTCCACATGCAGATAAAGGCACGGGCGGGCTGCCGGCAGCGAGCCGGGCTGGGGGAGGGCTGGAACCCTATGGAAAACTTCCCATGCAGCCCGTGGGGCTGTAAAACCCAGCTGTCAGCCCACTCTTCACTTTCCAGCAACAGAGAGGAGGTTTTCTTCTTGGTCATCTCTTCATGGCTGAAGGCTCAGTGTCCAGGTGCTTTGTTGGGATTGGGATTACTGGCCATGACTCACTAACCCAGTGCGACTTTTCGGGGAGAAGCTCCCGTGTGGTGATGTTGAAGTCCTTTCTGTGGAAGTCTGTCTTTTCCCAGAGTGGTTTTGGTGGTTCTGGAGGACCCCACGGGTGCTGTGCCCACCCCAGCTTCCTGCAGAGCTTTGCTCTGCACACTACCTTTCCTGTTTTTCTGTAACTTGGATGAAGAACTCTGGTGTCTCTGAAGGGTTCCAAGAGGCTGCAGGGAGCAAGGCCATGCCGAAAGCCTGGGCGATGACAGTGAGGTGGCTGAGGGGTACGTGTTTGCCTCTGTAGAAGCTGTATGTGGTGCCAGAGGGAGGAGTGATGAATGGACCCATCTCCTGCTGGGTCCATTGGGGTCAAGCACCAACACTGCTGTGAATTTTCCCACCATCAGTCCCCGTGTGGTCCTGACACAAGTCCTGCAATCCCCTCGTTATCCTCAAGAAAATGTCCTGCTCCACCTCATCCTAGAGAAATGCAATTTAAACAGCTCAACAGGTAGAGGAAAAGCCTGATTTTCCAGCTGGGCTTTCAGTTCTCCCAGTTTCCAAGACATTCTGTTTGCTGTGCTCAGAGCTGTGGCAGGGTGGACAAAAATGCATCCCATGGTTTAGCTGAATTATTTCCTTTCCCAGCTTTGGGCTTTGTCATGTTTCTAACACTTTCCAGAACACCACAGGCACAAGACTCATCTCTTTTATTGGACTTTTTCTTTCTATTTTAGGCTGAAACCTGAATAATTTGAAACAAAAGGACATCCTCGTGCAGGACACAGAGCAGCGTGTGGCTCAGCTCTGAACATGACCTCAGAGAGTTTTGCAGAGTTCCTGAACAAGCTCAAGGAAATCCATGAGAAAGAGGTCCAAGGTAAGGAGACACGAGATGTCTGATCAAAAACTGGCCAAGGTCCATTTCTGTGTAATGCCACCTTGATCTGTTTGGTTTCACACGAGAACAAGGTTTACTGAGAAAATCAGTAACTTTCTGGATGATGAGGAGGAGTAGAAGAGAGCACCCAAGGCTCCTGGAGAGCAAGCCACAGAGGTGCTCAGTCCCTCCAGGAATCCCACTTGCTCCAAGCGTTAGCCATGGGGGATTTGGCCCCTTTCCTGCTCCTGCTGCCGTGGTCTGTGCTAAAGGTGAATTGGGAGGTTTGCAGAGGTGACACACACACCTGCTGGGCATCTGCTCCAAGCAACAAGGATTGGAGTACATTTGGATACTGAAGGATCAAAGGGAAAGTAGAAAGATGCAATAATCTATAAGACAGAAGCAGCAGGAGATGAAGCTCTGTTAACGAAAACATTAGAGTCAAGTTGGATAGTTTATTCCTCTAGGGAATAAATTATTCCTCAGGTCATACATTATTAAAATAAAACCCATTAGGTTAAGCAACCAAATGCCAAATACAATTGTTTTCCTATTAGAATAATTCCCAGTATCAATATTATGAACAAAACATCAGCACTTTTGGAGGATTCTGGCTTATGAATTCATTCTTCACTTGTGTAATTTCAAGCCGTGTGAGAGTTAGAGGAAGCTGTTGAGCAATTTAAACCACATGTTTACATCTACTTTGCATAAAATGTATTTGACAGGATGTAACGTCTGCAGATCCATCAGCCAAAGCCGTTCTCGTTCAGCTGTAAATATTCTCCACGATGCTTTCCAACCCTGAGAGCTATAAAATACTGCCCACCTGGGAAATGTATGCTGTAGCAAGAAATAAGTAGAAACTAAAACTAAACCAGACTTCTGGGGGGGTGGGATGTTAATGCAGATGCATTAAATACTTGAAATACAAAATGTGCTCACGTTCTGTACAGCTTTCCCAGCTGTATTAAACTGTGGTGGTGCCTCACACACGCATTGCGTTGTTCCTTCTCGGAAATGCGGTTTGTAAATCGATGAGATTTCTGCAAAGCCACGCACCTTCCTGAAGTTCCACCACTGCAGTTTGCTTCTGAGTGCCAGGGGAGTGGCAATAAACACCCACCTCTCTGCCTCTGTTCCCCATTCCAGGTCTGCACAGCAAGCTGACGGAGCTGACGACAGAGAAGTGCCGGTGAGCGATGCCGAGTCCACCGACCCACGCCGCGGTGGGACAGGGGGTGGAGGGGTGGTTACACTGCCTGATTTTCAGACCTCCCGAGTTCTCCTCCAAAACTGATGGATTTAAAGAGCGCTGCTTGCCTTTCTGGCTCTGCCAAATTCAAGCCTTTTGGGAGCTTTTGCCATACAAGTCCCCAGCACAGGGGGACACACGGGGCTTGGTGTGATCCCAACCTACCTCCAGTTCGCCTTCCCACTGGCAAGTGATTCGCGTGCCAGCCTGTGATTACTCTCTTGGAAAGCAATAAACTGTGAGGAAGCAAGCTGCTAACTCCAAGGGAGGTGTCACAGGGCAGCATCTGGGCTCTAACATATTTTTTTCTCCTCCTGCCCCACAAGCAAAAGGGTGCTGTGGATGAAGGCACAAATTATCAGGAGAAATCTAATAACCCCCTTTTTTTGTGTGTTCTGTTTTTTCAATTAGTGATGCTCAGAGAATTGAAGAGCTGTTTGCTAAAAATCACCAATTAAGGGAACAACAAAAGGTCCTTAAAGAAAATGTAAAGGTGTTAGAAAACAGGTAGGATTTGTTTCTCAATCAGAGTGCTTGCTTAGTAGCAGCAACTGCACAGTCCTAGGGGGAGACTCTGGAATTTGCTGTCTCCCCAGGAGTGGGGTGCAGCACGGGAACCTCCTTATTGCTCATACTCAGCTGCTGGGAGAGCTGGAGGAGCCTGAGCACATGCAGAGCAGCTTTCCTAAGCTCATGATGCTGGGACTAGATGGAGGGGTGGGGGGTGGAAGGGCCAGCGATAACCCCTCTCACCAATTTGGGGTGATAGGCTGGGTGTTCACACTTCTCCACGGGGAGGGCAGTATCTTATTTCCCCCACGGAAACCATGTGGTAACAAGCTGCTGGCCATGGGTTTTCCTTCCTCCAGGCTGCGAGCAGGTCTCTGTGACAGATGCATGGTCACCCAGGAGCTGGCCAAAAAGAAGCAGAATGAGTACGAGACCTCTCATTTCCAGAGCCTGCAGCACATCTTCGTCCTCTGTAGGTATTACTGCCCTCTGTAGGCTCGGCTTTGGCTGGCTGAGCCTTTGCTCAGTTCAAGCCTCTCCCAGATATTTGCACAGGGCTTGGTGATGGGGAGAAGGGAGGGAGCAGGGCTGTGGATATCAGCCCACAGCCCCCAAGCAGAGGTAACCCCTCACATGAAGCAGCAGAGCTGATGAAACCCTAGTCAGAAAGTTGCTCCCTTTTATCCTTTAGTCCCTGCACATTTTCAGAGAAGGAAGGAAGGAAATTCGGCATCTCTCCAAAGCCTGCTGCCATTTCCCCCTCCTCCTCCTCCCTCGGGGACCCCAGAGAGCTGTGGGGAGCATCAGCTCTCTCCTTGCAGCACCTGAACCCTCAGCACAACCTCTGTCCCTGCAGCTAATGAGACAAATCGCCTGAGGGAAGAGAACAAAACTCTCAAGGAAGAACTGAAGAAGCTCCGGAGCTTGGAGTAAGTGCTTTCCTGGGTTTCATTCATTCTGAGGGGTGTTAGTAAGGACAGGGGCGTCCCCATAGCTGAGCAGGGCTATGTCCAGACTGCAGCATCCTCAGGGGTATTTTAGCATCTAATTCCCATGGATTCCTGTATATGTTAGACATTGAAACATTCCTAAAAGTCTCAAAACCCTGTGCTGACCTTTGCTCACTCCCCTGCTAACCTGCATCCAAGGATTCCACCTCCATGGTGACAGAGCACAGCCACCACATCCTCATGTTGAATCCACCCCTACAGCAGGCTGAAAGCCCAGCCAGGGACATACAGGTTCCCACAGGGCTTTTGCAATAGTCACAGCTGGGTCCTGGCTTACCCAACATCGTGGCTTCCTGCGACATTACCCACGGCCAAGTGGGGCAATCAGACCTTGAGCTGTTGTGCTGGCTCTGCCCCGTGCTCCAGACTGCAGCTGAGCTAGTGATAAGCTTCAGTGGAAGGAGGTGAGTCTGAGGATCCAGTATATCCACATACATGCTTGCATAAATACGTCTATTTGTATATTGGGCTCAGAGCTCCCAGTGCAGTGGCTCCAAAACCTTCCTTCTCCTACCCCTTCCTATTAATTCATGTCCTTTTCCTTTCAACAGGGACAGGGCAAAGAACCCAGGAGTCACCTCCAGAGAAAGCACCTCCACACCAAGCTCTCCATTGCCTTTACTGTCCCCGGTGAGCAGAAATGTTGGCACCGAGAAAGCAGCTCACAGGGAAGCAGAAGAAGCCCACCATGGTGTGGCAGACCTTGAGCTGGGAGAAGGTGGGTGTTGCTGGCTCCTGCCAGGCTCAGGGGACCTGGGGATGGGAAGAGTGACTGAGTCACGGTGCAAAACTGCCCTGGGAAAGGGTCTGGAGAGCAGAGGCCAAGCTGTTGGCGTCTCAGATGGACATTGCCATAGGCAGAGCAGGTGCTGGGGGAGAAATGCACATCAAAGGAGAAACACATTGTTCTGCATTAGAGCAAAGGAGTGTTTTGCTGCCCTCACTGTAACACAAGTGATGTGCAAGTGTGGATCCACCACCTCTTTCATGCAGAGACCATGTTGTTGCCTTGCCCAACCAGGCATGTAATGGAGGGCACATTCAATCAGATGCTGGCTTGAGCCAAAAGGAAATTTTGACTCAAAGGCTTCAGTAAGAAGTGGTTGGTACCAGCCAAGTGGGTCTCTGGGAGGCTGTGAGACTCCAGTACACTGCAGGGCAGAGCTGCAGCAGCTCTGGGTGACTGTCTGTGTCCCTTTTGCAGAAAAGCCTGCAGCACAGAGAAGCTCTCCAAGCAGCAGGACTTCCCCAGGCACTGTCCTCCAAGAAGTCAGCCTTGCAGAAATGGTGAGTTGTCAGAGGTGGTCTGATGTCCTCAGGCCTTCTTCCCACCACTGTGGTCATCATGGATCAAGACAAGCAGGTTGGGATAGGGAAAGAGTAGGAGGCACTCAGAGGGTGAAACAACTAACCAGATTTGGGCAGTGCCAAGGAGGGCACCTACAAAATGCCAGGTGCATCCTCTCTGCAGAAATTGCCACTTGGTGCAAGCAAAGCACGTGAAGTTTGGCACAGGCTCCTGTCCCTGCTGTGAACGTGCACATCCATGTTTGCTCCTGTGTTTTTCCTTCATGACGACATGTCCAGCATCCTTGAGTCCTCTACCCACTGCTCTGGTTCCTCTCTCAGATGTCTCACTGGGGAAACCTCTGAGGAATGAAGGAGCTAGGGAGATTGTGCTGAGCCACATTTCAGTGCAGTTCATCCTAAGCTATGGAGTCAGCTCTCCATTACCTGGGTGAGCAAGGAGCTGGAGCATAGTGAATGCTGGAAAAGCCTGGAGAACGTGTAAACTGTGGGAGTTGTGGGTACCAAGAACAAACACACCTCAGCAGCCCTGCCCAAGAGCAGGCACAGATGTCTCTCCACGTGCAGCATAATGAATATTGGTATTTTAAGAGGACCTGGTATTCAGTGGTTGTCATTTTGTGCACTGATGCAAACACAAACACAGAGAGTGTGCCAGCTGAGGCTTGCTGAGTGATATGGTGACACTGGGCGCTGGGAGATGAGACTGCAGGACCTGGAGCCCTGTTCCTGGTCGTGGGAAATCAAGCCCACATGCACACCCACATAGGTGCTTCTGTTTTGGCGCAGCCTTTGCTTACCTGACCTCCACAAAAAACTTGAAAGAGCAGGTGAAAAGGGGTTTTGGTAAGGCTGCAGGCAGGCTGTGGGGATAATTAATAGGGATCACAGGAAGGGCTGGTGACATCTCCAGGTGGGCAGGGAAAGTCAAGTCAGAACATGTGGTGAGCCTTTCATGACAGCTGATGGAGATGATGATGTCCTGGCCTCACAACCAGGCACTCCACTAGAAATACACCCACCAAACCCTTGTGTGCCAGGAGCTTACATGAGTAAAGGTCAGGGAATTTGCAGGGTCTTATCTTGGTTAAGCCACTGAATCATGACTTGACTTGAGCAGAGACACAAGACCTTCTGCTCTACAAATCAGCGCAGCCAAAAAATAGAGAATGCAGTAGATCACACCAGAAAGCATGAGGGGGAAATTTCCTACTAAAAATTAATAAAAATCTGGTCAAGCTGTTGACCAGAATCATCAAACAGAGCACTCAGGAGCTGCCTATCTTGTTCTCACTGGTGAAGGGATACATCCCAGCTCAGCTGGGCTCCCTGTAGCCCTCGTGAGCAGAATGGCTCACCTGGACTTTCTCTTCTCTGCCACAGGCATCCCAGAGGATTTCCAACCAGCTGCATGGAACCATTGCCCTGGTGAGACCTGGTTCCAGGCCCTGTCTCCTGGAGAAAAGTCCTTCAGGAACAGCAGTGTCCCCACCAGCAAGGAAGACTCCTCTCCCTCCGGAGCGTGAGCACAGCCCCAGCCTGGAGGCGTGAGTACCAGCTCCTGGGTCATGTAGGCCTGATCCATGGTCCATGGCACTGTCCCTCTGGGCAGACAGGGATGAGATGGCCTTTGTCTGTCCACCTTCCTCTCCAAACTTCTCCCACAGCCTTGGGGAGGAGGCAATCTCCCAGTTTATACCAGTAAAAAATGACTGGAATCCAGCCCAACAAGATCAGCCTCTCATGGGTCTCAGACAGACCCATAAAGTGAACCAGGTGCCCCCACCTCCAGCCAGGTGAAGGACTCGTCCCACAGCAGGCAGGAATCCCTGCTCCTCCTTATCTATTCTAATGGGCTTTTCTGCAGGGCTCAGCACTTCCCAGGCTTATCCTCCCCATGGATTTCAGGAGCAGAGGGCTGAGCAAGGCTAGTGAGTTCATCTGTAGCAAGTTTTCCAAAGTGGGATTAGTTCTACTGAGCATTCCTGGGAAAAGTGTGCACTCATGGAAGGCAAATAACCAGTGATAGCAGGGACTGGGTTTGCAGGGCAGGTTCCTGCACTGTACCAACCTTCTTAGCATGGCTTTAAAGGCTCCCATTGAGTGAGATTAGGGCAGGGTAGGCTGTTCCTCTGTCCTGGGTGTCTTCAGGCCCACCAAGGCACTAAGAAAGCCCAGGGGGGTGGGTAGGATGCTGCTGGCTGTAAGGAATGATTTGAAAAGTGACAGTACCTCAGCAGCAGTACCAATGTGAGCGTTCACTGCATCCTCACCCTCACTCAACCCACTACCTCAACCTGCCATGGCCAAGGGACAGGGGATTGCTGCTGGATAGGGATGGTTTCCTGCAGTGTGTGCAGTGAGGAGACCTGCTGCCTGACACCCCCAGCCACCAGGACAGCACCCAAAGGCAAGCATGGTGCATGGACCAAGAGCTGCAAGAGGACACAGAAGGAGTGGGACAGACCACGTACATACCCTGTAGGGCTGGGAAACCAGAGGAAAACCCTCTCCTTAATGTGATTATTTTTTTCACTGCTTTTTTTTTTTTTTTTTTAGTTATTTAACAGCAAGCAAACTGGACTCACCCAAGGCCGCTCCATCCTACGAAACCCTAAAACTGACCACTCGGAGAGAGCAGCTCTGCCTCCTCCACAAGCACCTTTCGCTGCACCAGCTGGGGCTGGCGAGTCACTGCACCTCGGCTGAGCGGGATGGCAGCAGCTTCTCCAGCCATTTGCTCAGGACCAAGGATGCCGAGGGCAGGACACGGTCACGAGACGGCTGGGAAGATCACGCAGCCTTGCTGAAGCTCCCTGCCACCATGGTGTACGTGAGGGATCAGCATCTGGAAGAAAAACTGCACCTCCTCAAGCACCGGGAGCGGCTGCAGCACCTCCTCATGCAGCAGTGCCAGCCAGGCCAGCGGGCAGAGGGAGACACCAAGCTCAAACCCGAGGAGCGGCCCCTCTCCCCGTGGCTGAGCATCGCGGCGGGATGCAAGGAGGAAAGGTCCTTCCTGGAGGATGCCGCGGATGGGAAGGAAGAGAAGGAGCTTTGGCTGAGCCGAGAACGCCCCGAGCTCCGAGCAAAGGTGAAGGAGGCAAGGGAGGATGATGCAGACACGCCACTGGATCTGTCAGACTCCGGCCGTGGCAGGGAAACAGACTGGCACCACCGCCGGGAGCTGCGGGGGTGCGGCAGCCCCGGGGAGAGCCCCGCTGAGCTGACAGCCCGCGGCCCTAGTGGGAGACACAGGGCACAGCGGGACGACCTGCGCTTCCCCTACCACTGGCCCAGTGCCACCCGGGCACTGCCTGGTGCTGCCAAGAAGGAAGAGGAGGAGGAAGAAGATGCACCTGTGGTGAGTACAGCTCGTGTTGGCACCAGCTGTGGCCCCTTCCCCTCCCCAGAGTGTCCAGCCCTACTGCTGGCACCATTGTGACCACTGTTAGGAGGATGGCTTTGATATGTGTGAAGCCAATTTGCACGTGGCAGAGCCACAGCTGCTCAGCCTGGGCTCTCATTCCCCATCTCTCCTCCAGTGCCCGTGGGGTTTCCATCTGAGCCCGAGGACAGGCAGTGCCTGTGCCCCCTCCTGCAGGCTGGTCCAGGAGCTGTGCTGGGCTCCCTGTAACACACCACAGCACACAGAAACGCCTCTGTGGTGCTCGTCCCTGTGGGTGTCACAGTCATCATGTAAGGCTGGGGTCAGTCCTTTCCTCCTGCCTGGCAGCAGCAGCGTTTGTGCCCTCTGCATCCCTGCATCCCTGTATCCCACAGCTCGCGCTCTCACGGGCACATCTGACAAACAACTCCACATCGAGCAACCCAGAGGCCCTCCCTGAGTCTGGGGTGAGACGGGATGTGAGTGCACAGAAGGGAGAAGCAGGTAAGAAGCCCCAGGCAAATGTGACATTTGAGAAGGCAAGAGCAAAAGGTGCATTTTGGGAAAGGCACCTCCCAGCCCAGAGCTCTGTGCTGGGCTCTGCACGTACCTGCAAATGCACTGACAGGAGCGACCCTTCCATCGACCCAGGTGCTCCTGGCTCCCAACACTTTTGGGCCATCAGGGGAAATTCAGGTTTCACATTTCTGTCCTTGAGAGCTCAATTTTCAACCCTAGAGATGCCCAAAATTTAGGCTCCAGTATTTGTAGGGAGAAAGTAACTTCAGCTGTTCTGGAGGAAAGCCGCCCAGTGTCACTGCCCAGCATGGTCAGGAGTCACCCATGAAGAGCACCCTTCACTCCATGCCTGGTGGCATGGAATTCCCGGGAGCTAAAGAGGTCAGTGTAGCTCCAACCTATTGGCAAAACCCACTCCAGAGCGAGCAGCAACAAGATAACGTTGCTGCTCCAGCATTACCCACCCCTCTCAGGGAAGCAGAAGTTCAGAAGTCCCCAGCAGAGATGGGGAAAATGAAAGAGGTTTGCAGGACTAACACTGGAAAACCATCCATGTTTGTTCCCTTACTCCAGTGCATGCCCTGTGCTGGCACAGCACACAGGGTTGAGCATGGAGACAGGGATGCTGGTACCTGCAGCAGGTAGATCAGGATGCTCTCCTGCTTTTTCCCTGCTCCATTCCCCCATAAGAGTCCTTCCAGGGCTTTCTCCCTGCCTGACCACCAGGGGACATAGGTGCCAAGTTTGTCCAGGTGGGTGGGAGGCAGCAGCCATGGGGATCAGAGCAGGAAGCACGTCTGCTGAGAGCTGCTCGGTACCAGCCTTACTGGCTTGGCTGGAAAGTTGAGCTCGCCTGGATTAGTTGGTCTGGGCGTGTCGGAGTGGTTTGGGAACACTCTCCGGAGCAGGATTTTTCACGGTGAAGGAAAAAAAAAAAAAAGGAGTCCTCTGTGATTTACATGCTAAGGAGATATCATCATGGCAGAAGAATTTCAGCTGATTACATTCTGGGTGTGGGAATACAGGACTTTCTTCAGTTCTCACCTTAAGCTTGACACAAAGCCCAGGAAACAAGACACAAACTTCTACACTTTCTAGTGAACCTTAACCTGCAGAAGGACAAGGTGAGAATGGAATCAGGCTACAGGGACTCCAGGAGTGCCTGGAAGCAGCCTTGTCTGCTCTCCCACCTGGGCAGGGCAGCTGCCCTGCTGAGCCCCACCCCAGCTAGACCTGGTGTCATGACCAGAAGTATCGAGCTTCTGGAATGCCCCTGCCCCTCAGAAGAGGGCACAGCCCTGTCCCCAGCCCTTTCTGCCCTCCATGGCCAGCCCAGGTGTGCTGCTGTGGGTGCAGACAGGGTGATGCCACCAACAGCAAGGTTTGGCCCCCAGCTTGTGCAGATTCACTCTATGCAGAGGTCAGGTGTGTGTGGGTTTGTGTCTGGGGTTCTGTAGCCTTGGGGTCTATGTGCAACAAAATCCTTTGCTGACCAGGGAAGTGTCTGCCCTGCCTTTCCTTCTTCTGCTCCTCAGCACACATTTCCTGCCAAGAGCCACTGACCAACACCAGCAGCAAATGTGTGAGAAAAACGCTTCTCCCCGCCTGGGACTAAAATGGGAAGATGCAGTCTGGGTTTTAAATACCACTGTGCTTCCCACCTGAATGTAGGGGCAGCAACACTTGCAAACTTGGTGTAGCAAAGTCCTACGGATCCAGCTTTACTGGGAGCTGGTTTCCCAACAGAGTCCTGTTGGATCATCTATAAATATTCATTCCAAGCCACTAAGCTCGCAGTGCCTCTGCTTTGCAACACAGTTTATTGCTAAACCTGTTTTCTGCCCCAGTGGCTCTGTATCTGCTCATGAGCTTGTCAAGCCTCCTGCCAGCCAAAAAAAGCCCTTCTTTTTGTGTTTCCTTAGATGACAATGATGCTGAGTCTGGGAAGCAGGAATCCGATGAGCCAGACACAACGGACAGCGAGGTTTGTTTGTTCTCCTCAGCCATCAGCTTAGCCTGCTGGGTCCAAGAGGCTAAGACAGGTTGTCCCTGCCCGAGCTCCCTCCAGCAGGTGATGGCTCTTCCTGCACCAGGTGCCAAACCTCATTCCCACCCTGTTACACAACGGGTTGCTGAGGGATAGAAGTATCACTCTTTCCAGCTAGACTAGAGTGTTTATGAACAATAGCATTTGTCATTGCTCCATAGCAAGGATCACAAAGGTCCCTGGCAATGCCATTAGCTCCCTGGGAAATCCAGGGCAGTTTGTAGACTGACTGTTCTCGTTGGTATAGGGGGCTCCCCCGTATGAAGACGATATCCTACAAGAAGCCGAGGCTGATGGGAAATACTTTTGCACCAAAGACAAAGCTCATGTGCAGCAGAAGAAGAGAAAAAGAGGACAGGATCCTTGGACGAAAGGTAGGGAGGAGGAGTTCCTCGGGGTATCAGCTCAGGGTCACAATTTCTGCTGCTTCCCTAGAGGCTCCTGTGAGGAAAGCGTGAGGGAACTGAGGGCAGAGGGGAGGAGGGTTCTTGTGCTGAGCACATGCCATTGTGTGCTGTGTTTTGGCAATGCTTGTCTCCAGCTGGAGGAGCCCCCTGCTAATGGTTAGCCAGGACAGCCTGGGCAGGGTGACCAGGAGAGCACTCCTGAGCACCTAAGCTAACAGAGCTGTGTTTGCTTAGCAGGTCAGGGAGGCAGTGACTGGGGAAGGCCAAATTCCCAGGGGTGAGTTATTCACATTCAGAGAAAGGTTCCTGCCCATTCTGTTGATCTCCCAGTGTGGCTGGGGAGGTTTCCCTGCTGACAGAGGAATGTGTTGAACTCCTGTTTCCTACAGGTGAATAAGCAGAAAACTGCTCCTGATAAGGGTAAGGATAAGACAGTGTGTCTGTCAGGCCTTAAAAAGTGCTCTGTCAGACAAACCCTGCTGCTCACCCCCTCTGTACCAGCCATAAAGACAGAGAAGTGTTGACCCAATTATAAATGTAGAGAGGGCTGCTGCTGGAAAAGGAAAGCAGCTTGTTTAACAGCCCAGCCTTCAGAGGAGTCTGCTTACTCAGGGGACATCACCACAGCTGGGTGACAAGAGGATTTGCTCTACAAAATCAGCTACCCAGAGCAGTGGGGAGGAAGATGCCCTGTACACCCCAAGGCAGACACATCCGATCCTCTGGGACAGGATGGAGATGTCCCAAGTGAGGACTGAATGCAGCTATGGTAGGAATGGGGTGATTGGAGAGGCATAACACCTCTCAGAATGTGGTGTGGGCCATGTACCACACTGGAGGGGGAAAAATACAAGGAATACATCCTGCTGGTCCGGGTACCCTCTCAGGTATGCTCCTGCATCAGGTCAGATCTCTGCCTATTTTTGCTTTACATGTTGTTTCTGTGTCCAGGATCACAACAGCCTCCCCTGGATAACCCACACATCTCACTTGTGAGGTGTTTCTCTTCATCTTTCCTGTGCTGAGCTTTGCTTCCTCCTGCACTCTTCCTATTTTGGGATGAGGCCATGCTGCCTCCGTACATGTAAATCCATTGCTCCGTGGTTGACTCCTGCTGTCATCTTGCTGTTTACAGGAGCTAAGAAGTCAATGAGAGGAAGAAAGAAAATCAAAGTGGAGCAATGCTCAGTGGGGATCACAAAGGAACTGGAAAATTGCTCTGCTTCCCACAATGATACCTCTGAGGAGACTTAACAGCAGGGCAGGATGAAGCGGCACGGAGGGCTTGGAGGCCTCAGCATCCCACCCACGCTGGGAGTGAATCCTTCTGTCGTGCTGGGCCTGGCAGTGGGGAATTCATAGGGACCCATTAACAGGTAGAGCACTCAGAAACTCCTCACTCAGCGCCCCAGGAGAGGCTGGGCAAGGAAGAGCCATGCAGGTGATCCCTGGAGCAGCCAGGCCACTGCTGGTGGAGCAGCAGATTCAGCAAGCCCAGCCCTGCACTGGAGCAGACCCTCAGACTGCTGCTAGGAGGAACAGACATCTCTTTGCAGTCCTCACCCTGGATCAGAACCATGTTCTTCCCTGGGATTCTGTGCTTGGAGAACAGACTACCCAGACCCCGTTCCTCATGTAGGATGGTCAAAGGGTGGTGACCAAGCCAAACACTGCGGGGCCCCATGTACAAACTGGCTTTAATTAAATCCCTACCCAGGTTTCATACACATGTGGATCTTGCTTGACCTGAAAAAAGTCCATGGTTACCTTTTCCATTTAAGTGAAGAGCAAGCACATGAGTGGACAGGTGGGATGTGTCCCTGGAGAGGGCAGGGAGAAGAGCATGGGAAGAGCTTGAGTGCTCCCTCTCCCCAGGTGTCCTGCATGCCTGGAAAGGGTCAGTGTGTGAGACCCAGCTGTGGCTCACAGCAGAGCACCAGCTCAGCAATTCACACTATCGATGGGAGCTGTTTTTCACATGGATAAATTGTTTTTAATAATACTTTTTACTGCTGGAATGAGATGGGAAAGACTGCAGCGAGCATCCCTGCAGCCACAAAATTGCTCCAGAAGCCAGGCTGGGGTGTTGCTGGGGCACAGGTGGAGAACAGGGCGACAAAAACAGGAGGCCAGAGAGGGAGCGCCAGAGCCAGTACCTTCCCTGGTTGGTGCCCCATCATTTCCTTCACCCGCGGTTATTGCTATTTAAACGCGCGTCTGTTTGCCCGTTCGCAAGAACGAAGGCGAAGCGCAGCCAGCCAAGAGCAGCATCTTTATCCTGCAGCACCTTCCCGCCTCCCCAACCTCAAAATCCCAATTTAAGAGGGGGAGCAGGGGCGGGAGGTGGGCCGTCCTGCACCCAGCCGGGTGGGAGAAGCGGGGAGCGGTGCGGGAGCGGTGCGGGAGCGGTGCGGGAGCGGTGCGGGAGCGGCGGGCGGGCAGTGCCGCCTGCTGGGCACCGCCGGGCAGGAGCGCCGGGGATGCTGTTCAGCCCCCGGGGAGCACGGCAAGGTCCGACCCTGATGGCCCTGGAGCCACGGAAAGCGGACCGGCAGCGGGGATGGACTGCGGGAGTCCCGCGGGGCGGCTGCGGCCAGGATAGTTCAGAGCAGCTAAACTTCCCGGGCTGAAACATAACTAAGACGGCTGTCGTCTTCCTCCTGTCTCCAGTTTGGCAGAGCTCGCTGGGTGCCGGGGAAAGGATCTGGAGCACAGATCTGCTGAGAGAGCCGGAGGTGCTCATCCTGGAGAAAAAGGAGGCTCAGTGGGGGACCTTACTGCTCTCTGCGACCACCTGGAAGGAGGTTGTAGCCAGGTGGGGTTTGGTCTTTTCGCCCTGGTAGCAAGTGAAAGGACAAAAGGAAATGGCCTCAAGCTGCGCAAGGGGAGGTTTAGATCGGATATCAGGAAAAATTTCTTCACCAGAAGGCTTATCAAGCACTGAAAAGGCTGCCCAGGGCAGTGGGTCGAAGTGTAATCCTATAAAGAGGCCCCTCAGACTGTAGGGAGGTAGCCTGGGATGGGGAGAACTGAAGGAGGGAGGGAACTTTTATAGTGTATAAAATAATCCCCTCCCTATGACAATCCCTTGATAAGCAAAGGTGCAGAAGTCTTGCCAAAAATAATGAAGTCCTCAATTTCTTTTCTTCCCGCAGAATTTTTTTCCCTCCCTTTGTACAAGACCACCACAGAATCCACCTTGATTTATAGGACTTTAATTTTTATTTATATTTCTTCTTGCCTTCTTCCAGCAGGCATTTTCACCCGTATCTTGTGCGAGGTGTGTTTGAGGGGCTGGTAGGGACACATATTTCATACTTAGGGCAGTCCCATAACTATAAAAACAAAAAATAGTTTTGTCAGGTCTGAGCAAAGTGCTCCTCTGAGCAAGTTGTTGAAGTAAATTAAACTTTATATGCTGCACTTGATCCAGTGCTGGAATTTCTCTTCTCCTACCCAGGCCCTGGCTTGCTGCTACCCTCTCACCATGTTGCAGAAAGGTGAATAATTGCTGGGGTCCATTAATTGTCATAATTATGCTTGTCAGTCTTTTGTTCAAGTCGTTCTTGACATATAAATGTATGTATTGATCTGGTGATATGCAGGCAGCCTCAGACTTGAACTGTTCTGCTGTAAGGAAGAAATCTGAGCCCTACAAAAAGCCCTAGAGCTTTGTGGAGGTTTCCATGTGGAGGTGCAGCTCTGCCCGAGGTAACAGGTTTGTAGGAACACACAGGGCAGCGTTCAGCCCAACAGGCAGATCCTGCCTGCCCTGCAGCACAGCAGCTTTTTAATAACTCACTGGAGTTTGGCTAATGTCTCCAAGGGGCATCTGTATACCAGACCCAGCAATCCATGCTTTTTGCAGAGTTAATCCATTTTGTTGCCACAGTCCCGCTCAGTACGAGAAGGAGGTTTTACACAATAATCTTCAGAAATCCACTGAAATTACCCTCAGAGCAATACAGCAGAAGGGAAGCTGTCCCATGACCAGTCCTTCTGGCAGCTCACGTTTGTTTTGTCCAGATGAATTACAGCTCTGATGTCACCAGTGATGTGATGTAGGTAGGACATCTGGGCAGGCAAACTGGTTTCCCAGAGGAATGGGTTCAGAGTCCAGCTTGGGTTCACTCAGGTCAGGGGCTGGATTTGAAATTGCACAGAAGTCTGGGAGAGTGATGGTGTAACCATTTCTGTTCACTTTCAGTCCATCCAAAATAGCAACGTGTGGTTCCCTCATTGCCTGTCAGGCCAAACAATTCTGGTAACAGACCAATGCAATTCTTTTGCTTACTGATCCTTAAGCATCTGCACATGCTTAATCATCCTCACAGCACAGATCTCTGCTCTTGGCTCACAGAACCCCCTGATCCTCCCTGTGCATCAGCCTTCCATTGAACTGACATTTTCAGCTACTCTCTAGACTCGATTTGTAAAATTTTGTAAGAAATAAATTTGTGCAAGACGAGCAGTGAGTATAAACCTCCATCTCAGGGGAAAAAAAGAAACCTGCCACCACACAAGGGTTCCTCTGTCACATGTGTAAGGGAGATGGTGCTGGGCAGGAAAGAAGGAAGTGCAACAAGCTCAAAGCAAAAGGGAACTGTGCTGGGAACGCGGCTGGCTGCAATGCAGGAACCAAACCCACCAAAAACAAAGATATGCATGTCAGGTCCTCCCCCCTCACAGCCTTCTGTGGTGGTGTTGCCTTCGTGGCCATAGATGATTTGAAGGTGAATTACTCCATGCCCTTTTCATGAGCCTGAGCTCCACCTTCTCTGCAGTGAAATGCTTTCAGCTGGGATCTGGTCAGTAGGCAGTGCCCATTTATAGTGCTGGCTTTGGAAACACAGCTTCACTCTTCTGTTCACCACAGGAAAACTCATTCCAGGCATTACTGAAGCCTTGCTTAAATCCTGTTTCGGGAATTTAAGTGGGATGGGCATTTTTGTGTAGGTCCTTCCCAGGGTCAGAACGTGCTCTGAACATGTGGAAAAGGCAGCACAGACCCCGGCAGCCTCCTGTGGTGCACAGCAAGGAGGGGACAGGGACAGGGACAGCTCAGATGTTCAGAACAGAGCACAAGGACAAGCCTTTAATTTTTGAAAAGAGGATATGAAGTCACGGATAGGTTTAGCAAGTCCAGAAAGCAGTGGTGGTTTTTGGAAGAGAGAAATTTGGGGAGTTCCTTTGCTCCTTTATCTCAAGCAAAGTTTACTGTAGGAGTTTTTGAGCCAAAGTTCATGTTCCTCTTGCATCCCTTGGGTATCACAGCTTTCTGCTCTGCCTTGAACACTGTCATCAACCCTTCAAGAGTTCCCCAGCCCCAGCAGGGCTCTTCTGCACACCCTGTTCATGCCAAACCTGCTTTTGGATGTGCTGAGCTCCAGGGGGACCTCTCCAGAAAGCACATTTTGCAAGATTCTCCCGTGAAAATTATTGATTCACTAATAGCAGCGCGTAGTGTAGCACCACGTGCTTCAGGGGAAGAAGGTTTGATTCATTTATTCACAAATCCTGGTGTAAACACCACATAACATTTGCGTGACTCGAGCACAGGGCCCTCCTGAGCGCGGAGAGATGTGACTCAATCAATCAGCTCCGTGTCTTCTAAACACTTCGTGTCACTCAGGAGAGCCTGAGTCATTTTCCGAGGCACACGGTTATCAGCACAGAGGTCTGCTGGCAGCATTTGCCTCCTGGGGATCAGCAGCTGATTCTGCTGTAACTGTGACTGCAGCGAGAGCAGAGGGTTGTGTCACCGCCGCGGGTGAGCACATGGCAGTCCAGGGGACACGGCCAAGGGAAACCAGGACTCACAACTGGAACCCTCTGGAGGCAGCTTAAAACCACAGCAAGTCACACAGCGAACACACTGGTGGGACTGACAGCTTGAGTCAAACCTGGTTTGATGGAGTTTGGGATGCAGGAGGAGAGCGATGAGTGCCAGCAGGGAGCAGGAGTGATCCAACACGGGAGTGCAGTTCCAAGGGGTTTCGTCATTTCTTACATATGTAACACACATAGGGAATGGCACCTCCGGGTGTTTTCTGAGACATGCTGAAGAGGAGGAAGAAGATGAGCTCAGGAGAACGCACAGTCCCAAAAATGGTCTCTAGATGGATGTGGTGAGTGTGAAGCTGAGCTCCAAAGAGTGCTGGTTTCCTGGGGTGTGTTGATTTCAGGAAAGAGTTTAAAAGGATCAAGCTATGACAAGAAATTTGGGTCAAATTTCCAAGGTCCTTGGATTAGAG